ATACAGTGGGATTTGAACCCTAGACCTCTTGCATGGCGGTCCGACAACCTAACCACTACACTAAGATCGCCGGACCTCTTGTACATGTATTTAATTGTAATCTAATTATATATCTAATTACTTATATATATTTTTGTATATATATACTTAATTGTAATCTAATTACTTATAATTTTTTGTACATATTATTATAGAATAGATTTTAGCATAATTTACATCATATTTTTATTAGTTATATTGGTTGAACTATAGTTTAGTAGGTACTAATACATCGGATAGTCACATTCTGTGATAAAATTAAATTGATATACAAACTATTTATTATTATAATAAGCAGTAGAACGTAACGCGTAAATAAACGCTTCCCAAAGTTTACGTTTATTTATTTTACGCCAAATAAATTCTAATAAATAATTTTTAATTAGATTCTTATTCCTGTTACGTAGTGCAATCTGTAACTTAATACCGTTCCACAAACCTTCTATACTATTTGTATGAACACCACTTTCTGGATTGATAAAATTTTTTAAATGATTCACGGTTTTCTGTGTGACACCTAATTCATGAATACCCGAATAACCTCCCCAATAATCTGTATGCACAATAGAACCTTTTTCAACATGTTTTTCTATGATCTCTCTAATAGTTTCTTTATCTCGTTTCTCAACAATTACCAAAAATATTTTACTTTCATCAGTTTTTTCAATTCCACCAATGACCCATACACTATTTACCTTTCTACCTCTATGATATTTTCTTTTACTGAATTTTGATTCATCTATTTCCACAACTATTCCTTCTCCCCCTATCTTTTGAGGTTCATCCTTTAATGTATCGATTACTAATTCCCTTAAAAATCTTGTGTAATCAGTAATGGTATTTGGTGAACATTGAGTTATTATTTTTATCGTTTTATTAGAACATTTACATAACCAACAATATGCTATCATCATAATTTTGTTACATGCAAGATGACTATTTGCAAAAAATGAATCTTTAAAAATAGGTACAGATTTTCTACATTTTTTATTAATACATCTAAATCTTTTTCCTTTCTTATCTAAAGATAATTTAGATTTGCATTTTGAACAATATATCGGTTTATATAATATTTCTTTTTCGAATAAAAATTTTATACATTCTTGTTCATTTAATAAAATATCTTTAATAGATACAAACGAAGGAATAGACATTTTCAAATATAATAAAAAAAAATAATTCGTAAATTCATTTATAATTTTATGTTATTATTAATCATTTTCATTTTCCTCCTCTAAGAATATAATCAATTATTAATAATATCATTAACTAAATTAATAAATTAAATTTGTCACACCTTCTGAAAAATAATCATCATTATTCACATCTTTTGTCTCTTCCTTTGATTTATTCTTAATTATTTTAATTACATTATCTAACAATGATGAGATTTTGTCCTTGTTCAAATAACTAGTTACAAAAGATATCGCTAATCCTAATATGACACCCTACTACATAACAAAAAATAATTAATCAATTTATATTAAATAATTTAGATACAATTATTAATTAACTTACCGAAAATATTGTTAATAATTTATATCAATTTATGATATTATAAACTTTACTTACCTTTGTTATATCGTAATTAGATGAAGAGATCTTATTTTCTTTTCGATTTTCATCTGATTTTTGCTCAGAATTTGCTAAACAAATATTATTGAATATTGCCAAAGTAATAATTTGTAATATCAATAACGAAATTAATAATTTATATAAATTCATGTTGTTCAAATATTTTTTAAATAAAAAAAAATATTTTGATTCTTGTATAAATAGAAAAATATTCATATGGCCTATATCAAAAATTTAGATTTGACAACATATATAATTCATGGTGATTGGACAGATAGCCACGGTCATAAATCTTACAATCCAATAAGACATGTTTCTATAAATGGAATACATTTTTTTGAAATGAAAACTCAAATAGAAAATGTAAATTTTATCATTGATATTAATATTTATAACGATTATCGAAATCATACTTGGACTGCTTGTAAACGGTAAGTCATTTATTGTAAAAATCATTAAACGAAAACATAATTATTAAATCATATCATATTCAAATAATAGTAAAGGTGGTGAAAATTATTATTTACAAACTTCTTTAAAAATCGATAATAAAATAAAACAAATAACAGGACACAAATTAGCAACTCTTTCTGAAGATCACTTGTACCAAAACTTCTTGCAAACATTTAATTATTACTCAAAATTC